CACAAAGATCGGTGTTTACACCTGCCTCTCCTGTAGCTTTTAACGTTCAGTCTGAGCTCATTAGCCTGAACGTTGCAACCAGGGAGGAGCAGCCACCAAAGTATTTAAAATATGATGGATGTGCACATGCTGTATGCGCGAGCGGGGTTGGATTGGTGTAGGGGTTGCAAACTGGTTGCGACCGATATGCGCTGTCATTACAGACACATCTGGAAAAAATGACAAACAACTGTCATCGCCTCCATCAGGATGATTATTGCGATAAATCAGCGCTTCTCCAGAGAAACGTTAATGTCCTCGCGAGCCACGACTCTTTTATCATACTTTATTTACTTCTTCAAGTGGGTTATTGCACCAAAGGGGTCCTCGCTGACCCACTTACATCTCCGATAATTTCTCATTTCAAACTTTAAGCCGAGTAAGGTTTATCATCAGCTTTTTGAGACATTTAAGGCCTTTTTTTTTTCCCCTTCCGCGTTACTGGGCTCTTCAGCGGTCCAGTTCTGTGTTAAATTATTTGACACGTACGCCAGGATCAAAAGCCCTAACGCATCTTACGCGGCCCCTGTGTGTTATGCAAATGGAGGTGTTTTAATGAAGGCGTCATGAATAATTCAGGAGTGGTGTTCCACAGCAAACACACCGCAGGAACAAATTCATAGAGAAAGAATTTCGTTGGGAAAAATAAAAAAAAAAAAACGATGTTGAAGGATCTCTCCCTTCTGTTTGATATCCAGAACCGCTCATCACTCGCTTATTAACAAACATCGGCAACCTCACATAACCCATTTAATTAGCTCGCAAAGTATGGGAGATGCACTGAGCGGTGTCCACTCAGCTTCCCTCTCGCTGCCGCCAGCCTTTTGAACTTTAATAAAACCCAATATCAGGGTAGGGTTTCAAACTCAATTTGTCTTTTCGGAGGGGTTGTTTGTACAATGGCAGAGTCTGATTACTGCCCACAAAGCAAAAGAAGAAGAAAAAAAAGTAAAGGAATCATTATTTACAAGCGTTTTGATGCACTAAAAATAACATTAAAAACATCACTGCGGGTGAGCAGGTGGAGTGTGCAAACACGAACAAATAAAAAAGTCATTTTTGATTTAACTGTGCAGGTTGAGGGTGCCATTTTTCACACGGCTCTGTCGTGGAGTTTTGAGGAGACTATTGTGTATGGAATTGTGGTTTGTGCCAAATTGTTGCTTTGACAGCCCTGAGCTAAACAAGGAAGGTGAGAATTATTCTCCACCCACACAGCACTTAGAAGTCTCTTATCTAATCCTGCAGCAGTAGTCAAGATGAAAACCTTTGCAGGATCAAACTGAGGGCACGTTGACCTGAAAGGGCCCAAACTGCATTCTTTAAAGATATGCACACCTGAGTAGTTCTACATCACCATTCATCAAGCTGCATTTTGTCGACGCAAGTGTTGTCATTATCTATTTAACAGCGAGTGTGAGCGTCAATTTTTTCCCCATCTCAAACTTTCAGGTAGTGCAAGTGCAATTGAACATCCCGGCGTCCACTTTGTCCGGTGCAGATGTCTCCACCGCGGCGCCATTCTGGTCTGTGACACGGCCAGGCTGACTTTGTAATCATATTACCAATGCATGTCTCATTAGTTTCTGCCACGGCTGAGTGTCCCTGCTTCCTCCCGCTCTACTCATCACCTCACACACACACACACACACACACACACACACAGACGCACAAACATCCACTCAATTGCTGGCTGGCATTTGAGAGTGTCTGGGCTTGCATCTAAAGCAGTTTACTGGGGAAATAATAGCCCTCTAAAAGGATTCTCTGTATGCAGAATCATCCCATTCCATTTGAATTCTAGTGAGACAAATTAAATTTTAGCAGAAAGTGAGTATAGCACCATGTCGAGATGACAAAAGAATGAGCAGAAACAGGGGAGGGAAGCCTAAATTAGATAGGAGGGGTTCTTCTGGGTGATGCTGTGACCAAGAACGCTCCTGTTTGAGATACTGATGCATTTAGGTTCGTTTCATTCAATTTCTGGGATCGATAGAAGCTACAGGTGAGGAAGTTTTAATGAAAGACAGAAAGAGACAGACAAAATGCAGTTTAGACTTTGACTAAAACAATCTCCTGAATGCGTGTCTAGACACTGTCTTGCATCTTGGCTATGCTGTTAGGATTTCAGCAGGAAGGTAAGCATTCTCCCCACATCCCTCTAAGAAAAATAGGAAAGAAAAGAAAAACACTGTCATTCTGATTGGGTGTCAAAGTCATGGGTTGTCTTTCTTAGCTGCTCCTCTCCATCTGCAGAAAGATTATCAGTTGAAGAGCGCGCCGTCAAGTAACCTTCAATACTCAGCCCCCCCGCCTTCTCTCACCCTTAATTCCTTTGTGTGTTGCTCTAAATAGGCCTGACTGAATGTTTGTCTCTTCAAAAAGCGGGATGTTGGTTTAACTCCTGATATTGATTCCTCTACAAATCCTTTAACTGCATTCCCTCAAAAGCAGCCAAAGCGAGGGTCTTCCTTAAGAGCATCTCCTCACACACACACACACACACACACCTGTCACGGCTCCCCTCTCTGTGAACCCAACAGCGTTCAATATTGATGAGGTCTTCATCGCCACCGCGCTACCTTCCTCTTCGGTGAGTAGCTTTAGCGTGAATGCAATATGCAGCCGCGCTTGGGAAAAAAAAAAAAAAAGCTGCAAATCGTCCTAGTTGTTTTGTGTCCTGTCCTTTGCATCTTCTGTTGGTTTAAACTTGCTACAACTTGAACTCGCAGCATGCACGAGTGAGCGCGCTATCGATTTCCACCCACCAGGCAATTTCCAGGGCACTCGGCCTAAATATCGGCTCCAATCAAGCTGACCGCAAACTGCTCTCTGTGAATTTATCTGTACGTTCGCAGCATCCACCGGCCGCGACATGAGCGACGCGCTAAGCGGCAGGCGCTGTTTCCATCTGACATGCATTCAGGTGATGCTGCGATGTCCTGACCTGTAATCGTTCCAAAACAGGGCTATTATGACTTTAGAAAGGGTCACCTGCACGTCCTCGAAATAGATTTAGTGGAGCAAAAAAAAAAAAGCTGCTTGTGTGACACTCGGGGGAGCTTTGACTCGAGTAATCTTTTGTTGTTGTTTAGAGGTTTTAACGTTCCACAGAGAAAGCAATTTTAAAACGGATGAGGGCGTAATCCCTGACAATACAGGGATTATCTCTTTAAATGACCTTTATCTAGCCATGAGGCATGGAGTGCTTTTCAACTCCACTATCCTGAGTCTGCTTTGATTACGAATAGAATGCCTTTTTTTTTTTTTTTTTTAATCACCGAGGCTTTTCAGCTGCAAGAAACCTGTGCATTCAAAATGAAAGACGAAGGCCTCCAAGGTGTTTCACAGATATGCAAGAAGTCCAGTGAAAAGCTGAGATGAAATTGAAGGAAAAGAAAAAAAAAAGGTTTTGTAATGATTTTTTTTAATGACTTGCCCTTTAATAAATGCTCAGATTGTGACTCAGAATAGACTCTAACTAGTCATCATAGCAGGTTTGAAATATTCACTTACAGCTGTTCATTTTGGAACAAACAAATAAGGAAGAAAGGCTCTGACCTGTTTTATTGAAAGGCTCAAAAATAATGGAGTGAGTCAGCCGGGCTATTTTAGAGGGGATTTGAGGAGGCTCCCACCGAATGACAGATGAGTCGATCATCGTCTATCTTCGTTAGTTGGGATTTCTGCCTCATCAAAGGTGCTACATTTTCGCCTCGGAGCTTGAAAGGGGAGAGCGAGCGCTGCTTTGGTTCGGACTCCTGTTTTCCTTCTGTGTGAGGATTTTTGTCTTTAATGCCCTCAGAGGAGCCGCTGCTCTGTGCCGTTTGGTTATTAAAGTTTCTATAGTTTGCATTTCCATCCACCAAATGCTTTCTTCCTTCAATGTGAAATACAGTGTGTTGTGATTTTCATAAGAATCTTCGGTGTTAAAGTGCTCTTTTTATCTTAAAGGAGTTCGCTGCTTAATGTTAAAAAAAAACAAACGTCCAGCCAATGAAACATTTAGCACTTTGTGTCCGGCGCTACGGCTAAATCTTGTTTTATTACATCTGTTTAAGTAAGATTGTTGAACGGGTCAAATCTCAACTTTATTTGAGTTATATCCTTGATGAATATTTCAGCGACATGCATTATGCATGTTAAGACTCGCTGCATGTATTGCAGAGATAATAAAAATATTTCTGGGATTTGCAACGTGTTTGACCTTCTAGAAAGTCGAGCTTTATTCGGCCACGATTGTATCATTTCGGTGCTACTTTGTGAGTAGTTTGCGAACAAAGGTTGCCGGATAATTGTTAAAAATAGCCAAATACCAGAGGAGGAATTTTTCCTTGAAATGTAGTCACATTCAGTGGAAGGACATCTCAACTTGAAAGTCGTATTACCATATAAGTGGGTGCTTTTTGAATTACAGAAAATGAGCAGCAAATAGAAGCCGATGAATCATTGCACCAAGTTTTTTAAAAAAAGAAAGAAAAAAAAAACTTAGGAAGGAAGTGCCCAATGTTAAGATGTTAAGAATTTCAAGATAATAAAAAGCAAAGTTGCCTGGTAATTCTAAAGGGATGTAGAGTGATTCATCCTGTGATATCCGGCAGAATAAAGGCACATGATTAAAAAAGTCCAATCCTTATAAATGGGAGTGTGACAAATTGCTTTACTTTAAAAACTTCCACTTCAGTGCTGGAGAGACCCTTAGGTGAAAGCTTTAGTCACCAATTAGAGTTTTGACTAGTTCCTTAAATAAATGCATTCATACACTGCAGAGATAAATGCAGGAATATGCCTATTCCTTTATCCTGCTCGCCAAAAACTGATATATTCTAGCTGTAATTTTCCTTTCGACCAATGAGATGCATGCTCTGGGAGAGTTAGATGCTTGAATTAGCTTCTGGGCTCACATTGTTTTCACATTTGTGTCACTATGTCCTATTTGACAAAGAAAAGCAAGAAGAAAGTTGTATATAGAAACATGTTTGATATATTGATATAAAACATCTGCAATCTGATTATAAAATCTTACAAATTATTCACGTCCAGACATGTGAAAAATGTACAGCAAAACACAGGAAAGCACTTATGACTGGATATCGGTAATCATGAGAGTGATTCTGTCTATAATTAATAAATAAACATCCTGCACTGTGTATCCTAAATGATTGAACACATGTTGTAGATACATATGCATGTCTACTGTGTGCACTATGTTCATTTTCTGGGTAAAAAAAAAGACAGCCATGACATTTGGAGATGTGAAGAATCATTTTGGAGTTTCTACTTTTTCTTACATACACAATCAATGTGGCTGATAGGTACCAAAACACTTTATTCTCATTAATAAAATGGTGAAACACTAAAAAACAACATCATTCATTCTCTTACAGCATGTACAAAGACTCATACTGATGTGTGTGGTGGGTGAATTCTTTCGCTTAAAACCCGTCTGCTGTCAAAGTTTTCTTCGTGTTTGAGTCTTTTTTTTTTCTTTCTTCCCCCTGTATTTGGCTATTCAAGCCATACTTAAAGTGAGGGAAGCTGAATTTAAAATGGATCTCGAAAAGGATTTGAAGTAGACCGTTCAAATTGGAGCCCGGCTTTATGCAGTGACAGGGCTGGGTCCGCTGGGCTCGCTAACAGAGCCTCTGTGCCTGCGGTCGGAATATTCTCCGATAAATGAGCCATCCTCGTCGAATTCTTCTCCGCCGTCCGCGTAGTCGACCAGGCTGTCTCTGCTGACGCTGTCCCCGACCGCGTCGTCTCCGTTCAGGGAACACAAGCTACTGCCCTTCAGTGGCTTTTCATCGCTGTCACTGCCATCAACAACAAGAAAGAGGGATGTGCGAGGTCAGCGGTGCGGTGCAGCAAACAAACACATTGTATAGCACATCAAGCAGATGTCGGAGAGCAGCAGATATAGCTGTAAGGGGGGCCACAACTATACATATACTGCACAGAACAGACAGTGTTCATTACATGTAGACTATTAAATGCTTGGCTATACACAAGCTCCCACTCACAAAGCAAGTTTGCATGGTTTCAGTACACGCAGCAGGCAGGGGTGGATGCAGCGGCTGCACAGCAGGAAAGGGAGCACTATAGGGAGGCGGGGAGGGCTTGCTACAATCACTCCACTAATTGCTAATTGCCAGGGCTTCAGGACCAAAGGCAATTTCAAATCTCTTTAGAGCCAGCGATGGAAATTGCCAGAGTGCAGTGAGAAAGAAGCCAAGTTGGAAGTTGGAGGTGTGTGTATGTGTGTCGAGGGGGAGGTGGTGGTTGTGGTTGTGGGGGGGGGAGGCGAAGGCTGAGATTGAGAAAAGGGAGAAGGAAGAGGGGAGAAAAGGTGGGGCATATGCAATCCCAGACAAACAGCCTGTCATTCCTGGTATTCCCAGGAGGCCCGCACGCAGGCCGAGGAGATTAGATGCCAATTTAAGGCTGGGCAAGCGGCCAACTTGCAGGTGTCTCACTACAAGACGCGGGGTCACCTCGAAGCACCGAGGATATTTTTCCTCCCTGTCCTGTTTTTCTAATTCCCTAAACTATCCATGTTTGGTATCACCTCTCTCTTCCTCTCTCTCTTTGGTTTTGTATTCGCGACACGGAGCGTCTGCGTTCACAAACACTCAGGTGGCTCATGTATGATAGTGCCATTCGAGGCGCATTGTGGTCGACACCTGTGTCAAACACGAGCTCGACATTTTGAGCTGGATTTTAGCGCAGAGACACGGTTCGGGCTGAGATTACAAATTGGGTCCCCTTCACCAGGACTCTTACTAACCAATCTTATCTATCCCATTTCTTGAGTGCGTTTGCGATGCAAGCCACGTAAGGGTCCGCGTTTCAGCTCTTATCAAACCTTCTTTCTCTGACGACTCTAGAGCGCCGGAGATAAGTGGCTGTTATCTAAGAGCAGTGGAATGCCACAGCCGCCGCCGCCCGCCCACAGTGACTTTGAATACGGTGATAAAATGGGGCTGAGTGCTTTCGAGCCCCACCTCACTCAAGACCTTGGTCGGGATCCAGCTCGGTCTGTGCTGTCCCCGTGAAAAAGGCTCACAAACAGGTAAGAGATGAAGCCACATCAGCGGGCAAGAAGGTAATTAGATTTGTCTTGCCATTGACCCGTGCTGACTTGGTTTGGGGGCGGCACGGAAACTTCAGGTGGATTTTTCCCCCACTTTGCACCCGAAGCTCTATTTATTCTGCCTTAAAGGTGTCAGGAGGAAAAACTTCCTCGCATCTGCTGCCTTCTCCCACATCGCACATAAAAATATGAGAAGATGAGAACGAGGATGGAAAAAAAAAAAAACACAACATAAACTAGCTGAGGGAAAAAATTGCATCACACTGTTGGCTAACAGCCTGCTCCAGCTATGACACCTGCTGTTCTAGCAGTGGACAGAGGGGCAAAAGCAGTAGAGAGCTGTCTCCAAAGAGAAATCATCTGAAGCATAATTACCACTTGTCTGCTCCCCAGACACGTGGCATACCAGTGGGTGGTCTATTGCCTTCAGAGATTCAAAGGGCACAAGAGAGCCCTGAATCCAGCTCCAAAGCCAGGAAAACAACATCATAGTAAGGCTAAGGGCACTCTGGGGGGACAGAACTCAGAACAGCCTCATGAAACCAACCATGAGAAGCATTCTAAACAGATAGTTGCAGCCAAATATCTGCACTGGCTCGCAAACACACACAGTGGCTCCTGCCAGGGAAGCTCCGAAGTGAACTTGCTATCAGAGCTCAATTCAATATTACAATACTTGCACCTATAGGGGGTTTTGAAAGTAATCTCTGCACCTATACCGAAATCAGTGAGTCATCGGTATTGATTGACAACTCACAAATACAGTCATTTTCAGCTGTGGGGCAGTGAAAACTTGCTTAATACCTCTGCAGGCTTTATAATCTATAAAGAGGGTCATGGACACCGTAGACAATGTATTCCTTCCTGTTTAACAGAATTACAGTCTTGGCAAGAAGCGCAGGAACGCAATTGGCAGCAACCACACAATTGTGAGTAATCATGTTCCGAATAATATGATGACGAGCAGAATCAAAGCAGACAGAAGAGGCTATTTTAGGTGAATATCCGCACAAACAAACACACCATTGTCACACAGTTGCTGCAGTGCTGTCAGGCAAAATAGGATTCAGTCGATTTCCCCCTAAACTGTCACCGTAGCAGCTGAACAATGCAAACAATGGAGATTCAACAGCTATTATAAAGTACAACAGCTGTCTGCTTCAGGCTAAAAGGGCCGGTTTTTTACCCATTTTCACGCTCAGTTTATGCCGGCTTCATTGAATGTAAGACAGTTTCTATCAGAAATTACTGTACATCTCAATTCTGTGCGTCTGCAGAGGAAGCTTCCTGTATCCTCCAGAGGCGTGACCTCTGTTAAAGATATTTCACAGAAAACACTATAATTCAGGTGAGTCAGTGTTTAAAGGGAAGTATTTGGGTAACTTCTTTTTAAAGACTTAGCTGTATATTGGACAGGTCTGATCTAAGAAATAAAGTCAAACTTGATGATAATAACAAATGTATCCTTAATGCTTCTCTTGATTGTGTGTTTCAAGGACCCAGTGACTTCACAGATGTTGAAATAGCATGAACAAAGTGTAATGTAATTGGGAACCAGGCGGTAAATTATCACACAAGCAAGCTATGCTAACTAGCTTCCAATTTCCAAGTGGAATACAAACTTAACAGCCTGATGTTTCCTCCAGTATGAAAATGCTGTAAGTGGACAGATGTCTTGGCTACGCAGACTTGTTTCAAAGAGGAAAAAGTGTTGAAAAGTTCATGTTACACTGGTTTGCAAATTGAAATACAAATTGAGAAGTCTTTCCAATATAATTAGACTATTACACTGCGTACATACTGTAATTTAGTGATAATTACATTACACACACAGACATGGAGTGTAGAGTGATTTTCAAGCTCGTGTAAATTGAGCTAAAATTAAAAACACTGCATGTACACTCGGTAAACACACACACAACGGGAGGAAAGCAGCGCACACATATGCAGAAACACACAAGCACACTAAAAGGCCTGCTGACGCCTAAAGGAACAAGGTGACTCACACACTCTGCAGAGCAAACACATGCACACCATCAGAATCTGACAGCAAAGTAAAAACACACAAAAGTCCAACTAAAAGGGGAGCTAACAGTTACCCACTACTCCTAGCTACACCGTGTGGTTACCTAGCCCATTAAATGACGAGAGCACTGGCTTCTTGGTTGATCCCGGTAAAGCTCGTGAATGCACGGCTTGCTTTTAGGGTGGGAGGGGGGAAAAACATCACTGTGATACATGACAAAACAAAAAAATCACTTTTTAGATACAGAAATGTTCTGTCCTCATCACACCATTTCAGCACTGCAGCTTCACCCTGCAGTGCAGCCATATATCTCACCTGTATTCATAGAAGGTGTCATGATTCATTCCTTGTGACTCCACGTCAGGGTGGAGGTCCTCCTTCTCTTTCACTGCAGGGGGGGCAGGACACATAGTTCAGCAATGCTTTCAAACAATAGCACTTCCATACATAGATTCAGTTCTTGCTTTATCCATCCATAATGCTTCACATTCAGATAATTGCACTGTAATGTCATAGTTCCTGTCTTTTAACATTTTACAGCCGTAAATAAGTCTAACTAAAACATGCACCTTTTGTTCGTTTTAATCACTTTCAATGGTTTTTCCTTTCAGACGGTTCTTGGAAACAAAAACAACTTTAAATGATCTGAACTTTGACACCACCTGTGTGAGACTTGAATTTCAAAAGTCATAACCAAAGAGCCTCAAAGAGCAGCTAAATATCAAGTCTTAACACAGAAAGCCTCTCCTCTGTGTTGCTGCACAAAGTGCTAGATGTCAGCTCTTTGTGTAAATATGCTTTTAAAAAAAATACCAGCTGCATTTGAGAGAGACAAAAGAGGGGTTTCATGAAAAGAGCTTGGATGGGCAAAGGGGGAATCCAAAGGAGCTGATGAAATATTCAGTGCTTCATGTCAGAAGCTACTGCGGGCAAAGTAGTGGAGTATGGTGGAGTGAAGACGAGAAAGCACGTTGAGAGGAAATAAACAGAGTGAAGAGCCGCTGTGCAGGTACGGACCATTGTGAATATTGAGGGAAGAGCAGGAAAGGCCTGCCGGTTGAGGGGTGGGAAGGAGGAGAACAAAGCCAGCTGATTCCCACTCCTCTAGCTTGATAAGGTTCATAATCAGAGGTACCAAGCATCGCCAAAAAGACCACATATGTTAGTAGACATGCAGTAAAACTACAGTAGCTGCAAGGAGCTCATGGATGATCTCCTGCTTGGGAAGGTTGGCATGCATAGATGTCCGACATGCATAGCACACTTACAAACAGATTTGGGGTCAGGACTGAGATCCAAATCATACAAAATGCTTGATAAGCTTGCAGTGTTTGAAAATTTCACAGAAAATTGCATCACATGTTATCAAATCAGACTCATGGTCATGATCAAAAGTCCTGTAAAGAGCATGTATTTTATGTCATTGTTGTGTTTCGTTTGCCTTGGTTCCGTTCTTCTTTTTCTTTTGTGTGGTGGGTTCATTGCATGCCTTTTTTTGTTGTCAAATAAACATTAAACACAACCATTTTTGCTTTTGGTTTTTTAATTGGTTTTTTTTTGGTTTTTTTGGTATCTTAGGAAGTTTCCTTGGTTCGAAATTTTCCTTTTTGTTCTTCTCTTGTTGATTTTTTTTTCCTTGATTCGCTTTTTTTAGTCGTTTTGTAGCATCTTTTTTGACTTCTTTTGTTGGCATTGTTGGTGTTGTTCTACTTTTTTTGTTTTTTTTCTGCCGCCTTGTTTCTTCTTCGGCATCTTCTGCTTCTTTTTGGTGTTTTTTTCTTGTGTTTTCTGAGTCGGGTGTTCTACCTTCTTTCTTGTGTGCTTTTTTCGTTTTTTCTTTACTTTTTTTGTTTTTTTTTTGTGGTTGTTGTTTTGTTGGACCCCGCTGTTTGCTCGACGCCCCGTTTTTTTTGCTGATTTTTTTGTTTTTTGTTGAATGTTGTGGTGGTGTTTCTTCTTCATTACTTTCTACTCTATTGACTTTGTGTGAAGCGATTTTGGCATCTTAAGCATCCTCGACTTGGCTCCAAGTGACTTTTCTGACTTTTTCAAGTTAATGATTTGCTCATTTAGATCTTCGCTGAGCTACTCAGATTTTCTCATTGTAGTGTTTGTGGCATCTAATGAGTTTGTTAAATGGGCTCTATTTGAAATTGCCTCAGAGGAGTCAGCAGCTGTTGTCAATCGTGATCACTCACAAAAAGGTAATAGGTCAAGCTACAAAGAAAATTGGATGAACACAACTTTCTGCATCACCAAAGCTGATTATTTAAGTATTTGTGACCCAGCAAATGTTGCCATGTTTCCAGATGACTTATAATAAATCTGTGAAAGAACCAAAATGCATGACTGTGATGTGTGGCTCCATCATAGAAATGTAAGAGTTTTAGGACTCACTGGAAACTCAAGACATGATATACGAGGTGTGTCAAAAAGGTTTCAGGACTGGTGTTACAAAAGATATATTTCAAATCCAAACTACAAACTACAAGTTTTCCCCTTCTAAACAATCCCCCTGGAGTCTGACACACTTTCCCAGCCTTCTCTGCCACACCGCCATGTACTCCTGGAAGGATTCTTCTGGGATCCTCTGCAGCTCCGTCATCACAGCCATCTTGATGTCGTCCACATCTTCAAAACGGGTCCCCTTGATGACCCCCTTGAGCTTGGGGAAGAGGAAACAATCCCACAGAGCCAGGTGGGGTGAGTAGGGAGGTTGCTCCAGCACGGCGATGAAGAACATCGCCGTGCATTGGGGCGGTTGTGGCTCAGGTGGTAGAGCGATTGTAGAGTGGTTGTCATCTAATCACAAGGTTGTCAGTTCGATCTCCCCGCCCCTCCACAATCAAAGTGTCCTTGGGCAAGACACTGAACCTGAAGTTGCTCCCAATGGCAGCTCTGTCGCCATTGGTGTATGAATGTGTGTGTGAATGGGTGAATGAGAAACAGATTGTAAAGCGCTTTGAGTACCACCAAGGTAGAAAAGTACTGTGTAAGTGCAGATCATTAGAGCAGACCATTAAGTGCTGACCATTTCTCAGCCAGGAATTGTCAGATGTTCAGGGCATTGTGAGCAGGCGCATTGTCATGATGAAGCAGCCACGACTTGTCCTGCCACAACTCCCGCCTCTTCTGGCGCACTGAATAAAGCACATGACGCAAGATCTCTTTGTAGATGTGCTGGTTGATCGTCTGAAGGGGAAAACTTGGCTATGAAAGCATATCTTTTGTGACACCAGTCCTGGAGCTTTTCTGACACACCTCGTACATGGTCTGTACAAGACTTTTGTTCATGAGTCTGATTTTGTAACATGGACTGTACATTTTATGAGTTAAGTTTTGGTTCACTTCCCAAGGCAAAAAGACAAGGGGACCCAGCCTCGGCCAAAGACTAACTGACCTTTTTCCATGGAGAGCATGTCTTGTCGCTGGGGCGGCGGCGTACCTGCATACTTGCCGCCTTTGTTTTTCCGCACAAAGCAGGCCATGAGCGCAACAAGGGTGAGCAGCGCCACGGCACACATGGTCCCGATGAACCAGCCCTGAGTTGAAAAGTCGCTCGCTTGACTTGCCACACCTGTGAAACAAAAACAGCGACAGACACAGAGCTCAAGAATCAACTTTTAACGTGGGTCTATCTGACAAACCCCTCAAGCAGTCCTTACACAACTTCATCTTTGACTGAAGAAAAAAAACAAAAACAAACTCATGATGGATTCAAGTTTAAGATGATGTTTCCACATTGTATTTGACTCATATTCCCTTCAGCTATAACATTCTGTCTGTTCTGAGAGAATAGTAAATCGGAAGAAAATAAAACAAACGCCCAAATGAGATTCAAGGAAAATGAATAAATTCACATATTCACCACATCCATTTGTGAAGCATACGCTGGTTTTGTTATGGCAGGTGAGCACTCCAAATCACTAAACTCTACTGACAGTGACAAGCTTTCTCTCCTCTCACCTTTGACACGTGTCTGGATAACGTCTTCGAATATACTAGCGTTATCAAGCAGCCCCTTGGCCATGAGGCGCACAGTGTACGCCGTCCCGGGTTTGAGCCCATCAATTACGTGGAAACTTTGAGAAGTGTTTACAGCCTCTGAAATCCGCCAGTTTCCTTCACCTACACAGCCAAGCACAAGAAGTGCACAAGCAGCAAGTCTGTATTAGCATGCGAGCTATCACAGAAGACGAGCTGTTGCCAAGTAGTGGTTCTTAAGTTATTAGATTTTTTTTTTGTGCTATATATAACTTTAAATACATCTTTATGCATTTAGAGGTAATCATACAGTAGAAATGAGCCATGGGGGCTTATAGTATATATATTTTTAGATGTTAATTTTAAACATTCCTGAGTGTACCTACACATGATGCCACCTTAAATTCCTATCAATGTTTAGCAAGGCGGAGGGACAGGAAAAGTAGCTTACGGTTATTCATATAAGCCACATAAAGCTGCAAGTCCCGCTGCTCTTCTCTGGCAGTCCAGCTGATTTTGGCAAAGGTGTCACTCACATAGGAGCTTATGTTCAACAGGGCTGGAACTGATAGAAGAGAAGAAATAGGAGGAGGGAAAAAAAATAAGGAGGAAAAGGAAAACACAGACAGGCACAGAGAAAAGGAGAAAAGAAGGCAGGAAAAGAGGATTAAGCAGAGGCAAATAGGATCGCCCGCAGCTCGAGAACAGAGCATCCAGCAGAAACCCTTCAAGACGACAGTTCAAAAGGCAATTCTGGGCCCCGGACTTAATTGAGTGGAGCTGGATTTTGGCTCATAAAGGGTAGATATAGAGATCGTGGGCGGGAGTGACATCTAGTCTTCACTCTGTGTTAAGCAAAGCTGGCATTTCCTGACGAACCCCCCCATCCCCACCCCCCCAACCACCATGAGCGGATATCAATAGATTGAAACGACTACCACGTCCCGAGTCCTATTGTTACTTGAAAGTTCAGGTACATCAAGATGAGATGACAGGGATATCGCTGGCTGTGTGTGTGTGTGAGTTGCGAGCTATATACCTAGAGGAGAATGAGTAGAATTGCCTGGGATAGAGCTGGGAACAGAGAGAGAGCAGTTGTGGCCTGGAATAAAAGAGAAGCCTCAGATGTTAGATTTCTGCTACAGTGCTGTCAGGTCTAATACTCTATATTTTGCAACAAGCGAGCTCTATAGACTACACAGAGTCAGGATTGTTAGGGCAAGTGGGAAAACTGTATTAATATCAGTAGCTGCACAACAACAGTGCCACTTGTACTGTAGTAGACACGCTGTTACTGTTGCACAGCAAATCTGAATCGCACATTTAAACTGTCTTTCTATGACAAGGCTGTTTTTTTTGGTTTTTGTTTTACAAAGAAATTGTGTTTTCTTTCCTGAACTGGTATCCAGGAATCACGCAAGTTCTTATTTGTACAAACTACAAAAGGACAAACTTTTGCTGAGGCTACGACCAGCTACTCACTACACCAACACGCCTACAACCTCGTCTGTCTCTACCACCGCTTCTATGTGGGCTTGACTACGGCGGCTGCAGGCGGCGGTACATACTGCTCTGAACAGGGGCCACAGCTGGAGTCGGGGACAAATCTTCAGAAGGATAAAAAGAAAATGAAATACAGCAGAAGATTACAGATATATGGAAAGCCAGCCTTGAGGTTTATAGACCAGGCACACAAGCACACACTGGCACACATTTTGCAGGCAAGCCAGAGAACAGACGTACACAAAGCGTAGATGCCTGCGTGAGCAGAGTGTCAGCGAGGGGTGTTTTGCTTTTGCAACCTGGCGGAGAGCCGAGCCACTAGAGGGCGCTGTGTAGCAAAAGATCGTACGCTTTTGTTCTCATGGTTAAAGTGCCACATTGATCAACATTAAAACCATGTACAGGTCAACATCTCAGTGCAGTGTTCTGCTGGGAAATCTTGGGTCTTGGCATTCATGTGGACGCTACTTTTGCTATCCACAAATGGTATAATGCACCAGGCCACGCCATAAAACCAAGAAGAACTCAAGGAACATCACCCAAAGATGTTGACCATCCCTCAAAATGTACCAGATCCCAAATTGATCGAGCATCTGTGCGATGGATCGGAACAAGTCCAGTCCACCGTGCAGCCCACAGTGGGGACGAACACAATGTTAGGCAGGGGACTTTAATGTTAGGGCTGATTGTTGTTCTTGCTAATCACTGAAATAATTTTCCCATAATACCTCTGATAATAATCAATGAATCACAGCCTCCTTTGCCTTTTCTCTTTACTGAGTTTCCATACCTGTACCTGAAAGCTCCAAAAGAAGCGTTTAATTAGCATCCAGCAGCACACCTCTTTAATTATTTCTTGAATTAATTGACTGTACATGTCTGTTTTTGTTGTTTGTTTTTTTTAGTGATCAGATATTGTTTGAGCCTCAACACAACTACAGTTTCCCATGGTGCTACGTGAAGCTGCTTTTGTTGTTGTTGTTGTTTTTAAATAGAGGAAAATCCATGTGTGATGAAAAACGTGCAATTACCATCATCATAAACCACTGTCATTATCACTAATAGCTTCATAGTCACTATGTATTTTCATTGAAGATTTGTACAATAATGCATTTAACACACAGGGACAAGTACAGCTGACCAGGATCTGAAAAAACTAAATTTAATATGCGAACATTGTATATATATATTAAAAACGTTACTTTATTATTAGTTATGGATTAAGTTGTGGGAAATAATCACATAGGTAGATTTTTTTTTTTATCTTTCATTATGTTGGTAGTGGTCTGACACGCTGCGTTACATCATTTTCCATTGTTCCATTGATTTTTTTTTGTTCTTCATGTACTGACTTTGCAGTCACTGGAATAAATGTTTCATTACCTGTGGCAAACATATCATTTCATTTGCACAATGCGCTTGCCTGTATTATTTCTCACATTGTGCGGCGGTGTGAATGTGTGTGTGCGCCCCAACCTGAACTTTGATTAAAAAAAAGCTGCCGTTCACAGTACAGCTTGTTCTGCTCTGATTGCCGAATCCTGTGCTGATTATAGTGACAAAGAAGTCAGGCCTTGATTATTATGTTTCTAACTGCTGTTTAAGTTTAGTTTTTTTTTCCAACGTTAAGTTCAAGCCATTTGCACATTTGTTGGCGACACCAACCTGGGTGTTCAAATGCTGCGCTCGGGAGCAAATAATTTAATCTCAGGAGAGGCTGGTTATTTTTGTGTGACTTTAGAGGTATATGCTCCTTTGTGCTTTTTTGTCTAGTTTGCTACCTACTTTATCTCTGCTGCTTTGTTATCTCATGAGACCTGATGGAGAAAAATAGATGTTTTTTTTCTGTCTGCTACAGTCTTCTGCTGTGGCTGTAAGCTCTTCTCTCTCTTGGTTGTTCCTGCTCCTTTTTATTCGTGTTTTAACCAATTTCAGCATTTTTAATTTTTTTTTTTTTTTATCTCACACTTTAGCCACTCTCGAGCTTTTCAAACAAAGACATGTGGACACACAAGCACACATCTGCTGATATCTGTACGGTTGTTTATGGTCTGCAATTTGTCTGGATTACTTTTAAACTAAGCGACTGTTTGCCCTCACTAAATGGTGATAAGCATTAAAGGTTCGTTCACTCAGCAAAGGTGAAATCTAAAAAGGAACACTTTAGAGTCTGAGCTCACTATCTCACATGCACTCTTCCTTTTTTTTTCTCTCCACTATCACTCCATCACTCCCCGTTAACATCTCTAAATTCATGGTGCCCCTGCTCTGTGCTATTGCCATCCATAAATCCACTCCACTGCATTGTGACTAACATGCCCTGAGGATAGCTCTCTGAAACAAAACTATTTTATCTCTTCATCGAGCCTCTACTCAACCATATTTACCAACAATGCATCTGAAGGCTCTCAGGCTGGACATCCACCTACAAGAATGCAGAATCATAGAAGATAAGAAGGAATTACTTTTATTAAAGCACTCAGAGATAGTGAGTTTTCTCATGTCTTCCTATTTTTGGCCTGCAGAGTCGTGGGAGGAGGAGTCTGCACAGCTTTGTTTTATTTAGGATACAAATTAAAGCCACTCTGTGTACGCTATGTGTCCGTTTATTTAAATTCAGTGTAGTGGTTGAATATACAGGCTGAGGGCAAGATGCAGATCTCGCAGCACCATTTGGTATGATAAAAATGTTTCTGTTTGACCTCAAAGCTACAGCGATTAACTTTCCAAAAGTCTCAGTTCTCTGGTTCCGCAGATCGACTCTGAAGTTATAAAATCTATGTCTTTGAATCCAAACTAATCTTTAAATTGCACATCAGCAGAGTGCAGAAAATAGCATTCCTTCAACTAATTAAGTTTAGGTGCAGGCCAGTATCTCTCACAAAGTGATAAATATTACCAAGGTATTCCTAAGCTGGCAAGATGCCACGAAGCTCATTCACACTTTTATCTGTGTTATCACATTATTGTAATTTCACACCGGCCTAATTCAAAAGAACATTTAAAAGATTAAAAATTACGCATAATTCCACTGCTAGACTTAGCTGAGCTACACTCGCTCCCTGTGTCCTTTAGACAATTTCAAAAAGTCCTTTATGCTTCTTTTTTAAAAAAAAAAATAAAACTCTAAATGGGTAAAGACTGGACTAAACTGCAGAGTCTCTGCTTTTACATGTCTTCGGGTTCAGCCGGATCCTCCGCTGAAGGTTTGCTGAATATTCACAACCTCTGTCACACCAAAACCGGAGCTGCACATTTTATATGCAAACTGTGGGAAGCATCCGCAAGGATATTCGAGAGGCAACTTCATCGAGCATTTTAAAGCAGCAGCTTGACACATAATTTACCTATTTCAGTCAGCTCCTTCATCTATTATATCTAATTTACAGTCTGAGATGGCGAGTGAAGATGCTTCTGCTTTGCATTTGTTTAGAATTTAACACATTTCTCATTTCAGTTTCATAATATCGCCATCATAATTTGAGCGAAAACTTCAATGTCTGAAAAGTGCATTGAAATTTCTGAATATCTTTGTATCTGGCGCTTGAGCTGGTATGTTTCTATAAATTCCGATAAGCCATGTTATCACAGCGTGATCTGAAAGTGCTCCAAAGAGCTTTTTGTTCTTCAAGAATTTTTTTTTCAAACCTTTGAGGTGTGTTTGGGCTCATTATCTTGCTGCAGTCTGACTCTCCACAAAGATGCAAAGCAGAGGCTGGAGCATGTCTCTAAAGGATGGAGTGCCACTTCTCCTTGGTCACAGCGTAGTCCAACTCCCTTGAATATTCCCACCACTATGTTTCCCTCTGATACGCTGTGCTATCATTCTCTGTCCTCCGTCCGTCTCCTTACATACGCTCTTCTGTCGCTGCCATTCATCTCCAGCTTGGATTCATCAGTAAATTGGGCTTTTTTCCACTCGTCCACTGTGAAATGCTGGTATGTCAGCCCACAACAAGCGTTTGGCCTTGTTTTCCCTTCAGAGAAGCGCTTTAGAGACGCTGCTCGTCCTCTGAGACCACTACTAGACAGCCTTTCTTTTGACAAAGCTTTTGCTGACTGGAGTCTTCTTTATTTAGCAAATTCTGTCTATGATGATGAAGTTGCTTTTCTGTCTCTCAGCGAACAAAGCTTGATGAATTGATCTTTTGATGATGCGCTCACTTTTAGTCTTTGCCTCATCATGCTTTGGGTACAGCTCATCCAGTTTCTGCAAAGTGTTTTTTTAGAGTTATGCAGTCTAAACCTTCAGTCTAGCCATGATTTGACTCATGGAAAACACCTCTGATTCAAAAAACAGTTTGACTTCTGACACATCATCATCATCATCTGGACACAACTCGACATTCTGCATAAATATCTTCACTTTCAACATTTTGGTGCAACATCAGCACGTTTAAAGCTGGAAATTATGAATGTTTTGTACAGTTAAAAATTGAACATAAACTGTTCAATGCATTTTTCCACTTATGGACAAATTAATGGACGATGTTAATAGTTCTCTATCAGTATTTCTACTCATGAAAGAATCAGTGCAATACCACTGATGTGTGCAATATTGTTATTCCCTCATCTTTGCAAAATTGCAATGCAAATTTCCCCACTGAGGGATTAATAAAGACTTATCTTTTCTTATAATATCGTAGCGTCACACGGTCAGTGAGGTAAATTCTCTTAAATTGGATTGCTGACCTAGAAATTGTGCAGGAATCTTAAAGGTAGATTATGTGATTCTGATTGAGAGAAATAAGAGCTGCAGTAAAATTTCTCACATTCCAGCTGTTTAAACATGCTAACTGCTTTATATTTTCCCCGAATCGCACCTATAAATATATTTCTTCCTGTCCAAACTTATTGTTTTGCGTTTCTAAATCCTCAAACTTTCTTATTATTTCCAGCTTCACACGAAAACTTTCAAGGTGCTCTCAGACTTCTGACTAAACTATTATCAGTGTTTTGCTTTGACATTATTACCTCACCGACTCTTTGTGTTTGATCAAACTCTCTTCATTGTTCGGTTTTTGGTTTTGACGAGTGAAAATCCAGAGAGGCACGAGTGTTTGACTTTACAAAGATCAGGATCTTTGTCGTTTTTAACCTCAGTTAACCTCATCGTCAGGGCCGTGGGTTCTTTTCAAACTTCACGGTGCACATTCGCAACACAGTCTTTATGCACAACAAAAAAAACTGTTTTCAAAGGTAGTAGTACTCCCTGCTACTATAGTAAGCTGTTTCATTTATGCTCTGGCACAATTATTCATTAGCATAAATATTTCCGCTTTGAATTATTACATTAAAATCTGCTGCTGTGCTTCGATGGGACTTTGATACCCGTCCAAGCGCTAGCCACACCCCCGCCGATGACTTCATCTACTCACGTCCTGTCACCACCGCCCTGCTCTCCTGGGCCAGCGGAGGTCCACAACCTGCCCGAGTGCAGGCGCTGAGGTGAAAGCGGTAGAGGCTGCCCCCCTCCAGTCCCCACAGTTGCCACTGGGTGGTGTCGGCCCCAGTGATGTTCACCTCGTGGGAATCCACCACCTCCAATGTGGTCTCATTAACTATAGATGAAGAGGAAAGATGTCAGGTCAGTTCATGTGAACCCGTGACGGATCGACAGCAGAAAGAAAAAAGTCATCACAGTTGGGTCGTGCTGTAACGCTAATGGAACACAAGTATAATGAGGGTCAATAGCCAAGGGAGGGGGGGGAAAGACGAAGATATGTCACGCTAACTCATGCAGAAAGCGAATATAGCTGATACATGTCGTGACAGGTGAGCTGAGGAGGAATACATTATGAAGAAAGGCGAGAGGGAAGATGAAAGGGGGGAAATAGAGAGCTCAAGCTGATGGGGGGAGTGTAAACAAGTGGATGAAAAGAGGTGGAGGAGGAGGAGGAGGAGCTGAGGGGGGGAAAAGCAAAGCTGCTAAGGGGTGGAGGGGGAAAGAATTGAGGAGAAATTATGAAGGAAAAAGATAAAAAAAAAAAACTGTGCAGAAGGCAGAGAAATTACAAGAGAGGAAGGAAGACAAAGAGGGGAAAGAAAGCACGAGAAAAGCCGTGGAAGGAAATCAGAAGAGTAGCAATCAGTAGTAACATATCACCAAACATGCATTATAGATCAAAGTACAGTGTGTGTGCAGACTGTTGAAGGCAACACACTTCTGCAGAACACACACCCCCTCCTCACTGCTGTCATTACTGTGCCAATGCTGAACTGCAGGTGAGAGCTCATGTGCCAAGATTTTGTGCCACTTTGCAAAAACTGATGTTTGAAAAGCTGCATACAAGAGAACCAACCGGATATGCAGATTGTATATACAGTGCAACATATAATATTTTATTCGAATGAAATTTACAGGAAGCAAAATTTGAAATATGCTGGAATCACTTCAACGGAAAAAAAAAAACTTCCAACACCCACAGATTGCACTGTGTGGGAAAAACTGTGTAAAGTCTGACATCTGATATGGGAAAGAGAAAAAAAAAAACAGCAAGGAGAAGGGGGGGACAGAGTGTATTGAAGAGCTGGCCAGACTCCGTGGGTGCAGGTGGAGGCGGCACAGGACTGTCTCTGCCTTCCATTTTTTTTGCACAAAAGACTTCAGAAATGTCAGCCAACGAGAGTGTAGGCTTTGAAAACAGAGAGTGTAATGAAAGCCCCTCACTCGCTCGTTCACCCGCGCTGTACTCGAGCATAAAGAGGGCTTCTTTTTGCAAGAAGAAAACGCTTCTGAGCGATAAATGCCAAAGGAATTTGCACGAGAGGCACAAACAGCACTGACTTAAATGATCCTTTTGGGGACGGGGAGGAAAAAAAAAAAAAGGAGGCAGGCCAGGAGGATGTGAGATAAGGAGCAAGTGAAGAAACTCTCAATCTAAAGTGAGCTATAGAATTGCACTGTTGCACGCCACAGTTCAGTGTTGAACAGTGCCACCTACTGTCTGGGATGGTGACACACAAGCGGAGAGGGAAGATGGTGTGGTTTGGAATTTGTCAAACAGGAAATCGAATCTTTTGCGCGTGTAAACCGTAAAGCTGCACACTTCCTCCACTTTCACCTGATTCTTCTCGCTTCACCTCTACTTATGCTGCAGCTACACTCCCCCTCAACACACTTCACACCACAGACAAAGCACTGAGCTACCGCAAAGAGAGGTATGTTAATGAGAAAACCTCACACAGGACCAAAGGACTTCATTGTTAATTAGTAGGCAGACAAACAACACACTATGTGTACGTACTGAGGTGGTACTGCAGCAGGTAGCCGGAGAGGATGCCGTTTGCCTCCGGCGGCGGCCCCCACACCAGCAGCAGTGAGTCTTCTTGGGCGTTGGAGGCGGTCAGGATGGGGACCTGCGCTGGAACTGTGTAAATGACAGAAATGTTAATGCAGCTCCTGTTTTTTTTACATGGTTCGCTGGTTGCTTGTTCTCTGTTTGGAGGTGGTTACAGCTACGTCTGTTTTGAATTCTTTTTAGGATGCTTCTCCGCAGAAAAGTTTGACTTCTTTTCTTATACACTGAACAGACAAACCCAAACCAGATTGCGCTTTTAAGCAGTCATTTTGTAACATTAAATTTCTATCTTCAAAGCTTGACTGGTGCTTTAAGTTTTCGTGTACTTTGCCTTACAAACAACAGCATGCGTCTTGTTGTTCGGTGTACGTTTCTGTCGCCTCACCTCCCTCTGGAGTGCTGAAGGTGACCGGCTCGCTCCTGGGCCCGTTGCCCTTCTTGTTGAAAACGTTGACAGTGAGTTTGTACTCGGAGAAAGGCTCGAGTTGCGGCACGATGGCATGACTCCTCTTTCCAGTGAAAGACAACGAGTGGTGCTCGTCTAAACCCCTGTTGGGGTTCAGCAGACTTTTTCTCCTCATCCAGTGAACCTGACAGAGGGAGGGAACAGAAAAGGGTAAAGAATAAGAAGGACATAGTCGTACTTGCATACTCCTCTTTGTCTCCGTCACTCTTTCACTCTACTGCCTACAAGCTTTTAATGAAAGCACAGAACACGTGTTTTATAATTGCGCTTAAGACATAGACATGATTTGATTAAATTACAAATAAAGAAAGATTAAAAATCAGATACATATCTTAAAACAGAAATGCAATCTGTGAACTTGTTTCTTGCTACAAAACTACAACTCAAAACTGAGAGCACGTTTATAAATCTTATTGTTGAGTGTGTCATTCACAGATGGTGAAGCGCTGCTCCCTGACAAAATCATTCCAACAGACGAGGCACATCATTCAAAAAAAACCTGACAGAAGGGGAGTTTGAAATACAAACAGAGAAAATAAATCAGGTTCCCTTTCAAAATCTTGACCCCATACAATTTCACGGAATCCTCTTTCTCTGTGTGTTCGTTATTGTGTCGGCTGCGGCCCTCGCAGATACACATTTGTCAAATTTAGACAATAACTAACTTTATTCTTCAGAAAATCGCTAGTTTAACACAATTACAAGCAATTTGTCAATCGTAATATTCTGTTCAGCTGTAGTACAATTCAACTTTATACAGTCAAACTACTAAAGAAGGCTCGCTGTAAAAAGATGTGAGGCTACAGTTAGACGTCCTGATGTTGAGGTCAAACTACTATCTACGATATGAAAGAAGAAGAACTGCTGTGAATTCACAAAGTCAGTTTCTCTGATAGCTGTCTTTGGTTGTGACATTCTGAATACAGCTGAGTGAAAGGGGGTTAAACTAGAAATTTATAGCACAATGAGACTCAAAAAAAAATGTTATACTATGAAGGTCTGATGTCCTCAGTAAATCCAGATAAAGTAAGTCAACCTTCCAAACCAAAGTTGTTGTCTGTTGTGCTTTGAGGATTATAAAAGTGATGGGCTTTATTTAAACTATATATATAGCACTTTATTTTAGATTGCAGTTACAACTATACCCATTAGGTATTGAGTGTATAATTTCGTACATTTTGCTGCTAGTGTCTTTTTGTGTCTGTTTAGACCAGATTAAGTCATTACTAGGCTGTTAATGCATGTGTTATTGTGTTATTTCAACCTATTAGGAGCTACTGTTTGGAGACCCTCTCTTGAAACTCAAACCCACAGTTATACAAGAGTGTTGGAACAACTTCAGCGCCAGGAAAACGTACGTGATATCCTCCCAGATGACCTCGCACTGTGGCAGGAGGCACCTGGGTCCAGCTAACTCTCAGAACAGTGGTGTTGATCACCTCCACCGCTATGTCCCGTGGTGCTGCAGTGGGAACTAAAGCAGGAAGAGGGAAAGTCAGAACTTAAGGCATACTGGGAAGAGTACTTTTTTTTTTTTTTTTTTAGCACTATCACAAAACGTGTACAAAGAAATAAAAGCAAACGCTTGTAGATACAACAATAAAATAACCCTGTAAGATAACAAGAGCCTAATTAGGAGTCGTTTCTTTTGGTTTGGATTGTGTAATAGTTGCCGGTTGGGGGCGGGGGTAAAAAGAACAGACCGATACTGGTTGATAAGCATAAAAGAACACAGATCATATTCTCAGCTAGACACCAAATGAAGCTGATTTTCTATTCATAGCGAGAAGGGAAAACTACAACACCAAACATGAAATGAAAAGTGCCGTCAATATTTTCTGCTCTACGTGTTGCTGTAATGGTAGAAGGGGAAAGATGGAAGCACAGCAGACGCTAGAGACAGAAGCAGCCATTGTGCCTCAGCGGGCCTACAGCGCAAAATGTGTTGTGATCTGTCAAATCTCCAACAGCTTCTGAGACAGAAGTGAGAATTTGACATCCCCTCTCTTCTACAAAGGTTATCTGCCACCTGCTAGGCTCGGCGATGGTGTTTTTTCTGGGTTTTTTTTTTTTCATTTTCGCAGGGAGGAGGGGGGGTGGAGGGGAAGTCACTACTGCACACCTGCACGGGGTTAAAACCTTGGGTAAGAGGAAAGAAAAGAATGGAACTTAACCTGACACATTTTCCCGCAGACAATGCCAAAAGACAACTGAGGACACAGTGGGAAGTGATAACAGAAGAAGTTTAGATTGTGTCACAAAGAAAAGAAAGAAAAAACACCGGCTAAATGCGCTGGCTCGACTTCGAGGTGTGTTGTAATGAAAACAGCAGAACTGAAGCGAGCTGCATATAAGCACATCATACGCTGAGATATATGTGTTTAATATATTCGTGATGTGAATGTGTACAACTCACCATCTTCTCCAGAGTAACCTGTAACAACTTTGGGCTCTGGCGCCCAGCCGTGGCTGTTCCTGCTCTGAATTTTGATCTCGTAGGGGATGAAGGTGGACGTGTTCCTCACAACAAAGGAGTGCCGTTTGACCAGGTGCTCCTTCCACTCTTCTTCCACCCCCAGTTTGCGGTAGCTCACCTTGTACTCAAGGCCTGGGCCGTTGTGTTCGATAGGCAGCAGCGGCTGCAATGCGACAGCATACTGACAACTTAGAAACTGCTGAAAAAATGTTTCCATGCTTGTTTTTTTAGATAGAGATGTGTTTTAACAAAAGAAAAAAAGTCTTACCTCCCAGCTAATGTCCATTTGATGAGGAAGATGGCCTTGAATTTTGATGTTTTCTGGGTTCCTGTCAGGACCTTTGGAGAGATGAATACAATTGTATAATCATATCAGTCCAAATGGGTGAAAAACAATCATTTACTGTCCCCTGTAACTTACAACTTTACTTAAACTAGCACATTGATAATTTTAGTATCCAGATTTAATGGTTCAGCAGCGGCATGTGCAAAAGAAAAGGCCTCTGAGAACCAAATATATCCACACCCCCTACTGCGGCAAAGTCCTGTGGCCAAAAGCTGGCTTTCCCACAATGCTCCGCTCTGCATATTTCAAACAAAATGTTAAAAGTCGTGTGCTTTGACAATCGACAGATGATCACAGAAGGACATAATAAGGGGAAGCGAGTCTCACCAGCAGGGGGTGTTTTGTATCTCTCAGTGGGCTCACTGGGGGGTCCGGGTCCAACAGCATTAACAGCATACACTCTGAACTGATAGTTAAGGTGTCCGTGCAGCGCCAGCTCAGCTGTTGCCTGGTTACCGGCGACTTTCTGTAGCTCCCTCCACCTTCCGGGCTCCCACTGGCTCTCCTCGTACTCCACCACAAATTCTATTCTCACCGAGGAGAGAGGAGACCTGCACATTTAGTCATCACCGTACCACTCATCATCACACTCACTGACAGGTTTTCTATGGAGCAGATTAAACACTGCCTGGGCTAATAAATAAATAAATGGTAGTTTTTGAGCGTGAGAAGAGACTATCAATACTACTTACATGTTTTAAAGTATAAACCTGGAGGCAGGGACGGTGATTTAGCTTAGCACAAAGTTTGAAAGAAAAAATAACCACTCAAAGCTGGATTCCTACTGGCATTACTAATGCGCCGTTTGTTTAGTGTGATTTTATGTCTTACTAACTTATTTCAACACCTTTACACCTCATCAGACCTGCAGGATTCGTCTTTGTTTTTCAACTAAAAGGTTTCAATTTAATTTTTAACTGAATATTATAGGTTCCAGTGACATAGAGGAGGATAGACAAGGCTCTACAAAATTCATCCTTGGCAATTATACGAATCTATTTGTTCATTTTGTGGTTTATTTTCTATTGTGTTTGTTTTTTTGATGTCTTTATATTAAATACTCGGTGAGCTTTTGAATTCCCCCGATGGGCTAAATAAAGGTAATTGAATTGAATTGAATAGTGAAGGTCCTTTGTGGAGGTTTGGGCAACTAATAGAACCATGAAACAGTTTTTAAATGAGGGGATCTCTTTTTTTGTTTGTCTAGTGCGGGTACACAATACACAACTCTACCGATGGTGTTGCACTGTTTCACTGATCAACAGGTGGTGGTAATGGGAGAAGAAATAGAGCAGGAAAGAATCAAACTGCTTGCAAGTAAACATGGATGTAAACGATTAAAAAATCTGCACAGTATGAGAACATGTTTGTTAATCCTCAGACATATGCAATGATTTCTAGGGAGTACTTGTTACATCTATAGCTTGCAAAAAGTGGGAAAAACTCTAACAGGATTTATCTTGGTTGCATTTTTACACCACAAATACTTCTGTATTGTTTCTCAGAATATTAGGAAGCACTGCTGCCAACCCCACCCTCTTTCAGACTTCAGATTTTCCACTTCTTCTTTCAACTTTTACCTGTTACAGAGCTGTTGTGATCACTCCCAGGTACCCAAGACATTTGCACAACTCGCGGACTCTTAATATCAGAAATCTCAAAGTTTTTTGGAGCATCGGGAACATCTGCAGCACAAAATACACACAACAATATCTGACATTCAGTAACGGCTGTCACCAAAACATTTAGAGAATTTAAATGTGCTCATGAAGAAATTACTACATTAGCACAACATTATCAAACACAATGCAATGTTCTGTTTTTCTTTGTTTGCCTACATCATTTCTGAAATCATGCATTATTCATGACCTCATCTTACCCAGTACGGTGAGCAGTGCCGTGGCATTGTCCTCATCCAGGCTTGTTTTGGCGATGCATGTGTATCTTCCCTCATCGCTCAGGTTCACATTCATGATCTGCAGCCTGCCGCCGTCCACCAAGTGCCTACACATATGAGAACATTTATTTACCTTGAAAGCAACATGAATCAATCAGTCAAGTAGGAAAGATTCAGTGAGTATATGCATTTTCATTGATTTTTGGGAGGGGGGGTTACCTTGAATCCTCCTCCAGGGAAAGCGGGATCTCCTCCCCATCCTTCATCCAAACCACCTTAAAGCTGCCCTGCAGACTTTTATCATACTCTGCATGGCACATCAGCTGAGCTGTGGTTCCACTGACGATCTCCACATTCTGAGGTGGAACTACTATTTTCGTGGGGTCTAAAGATAAAGCACAATATACCAGAGATAAGATCACAGATGAGATATTTGTCCTTTTTAGGCTGAAGCCAGAAAGGAAACCATTCATCGTTCCTGTATCCTTTAAATAAGATGAGAATATCTAAAGCTGAAATTATTCACTTTGTGAATGGTGCTTTCCTGAATTTAATTACGTCTTTGATGAGGGAAATGAGCGATCAATATTTTAAAGGTCATTTTCATTTATGAAACGACCATTAAAATATACTTCTGAATCTGTTCCATCACATTAATATTTACGCTGCATCTATTTATAACATCAATGAAAGAATAATCACAGGAAAACACGCTGGAAATAATTAAATTCTATCTTCTAGATCTTAAACTGAAAGGTTTAATGTACAACCACATAACTCTGTTTTTATTACGTGGTTTTGCACACAAGCCAACGCCTGCCTCTCATTATGAAAGCAAAAGGTCACATAGTTACAGCATTGGCACACTTTAATTGTAAAGGGTTGTTTCACCTGAATAACAACAGAAAGACTGAGCAGATAGAACATTTGTAAAGTGTTTATATCAGTGAACTGGCCCCACTCATGATTGAAGAAAGCTGAGATACCTTTTACTTCCAGCACAGCAGTGACAGTCGACGTTCCCTCCGTGTTACTGGCGTCGCACACGTAGTTCCCTGCGTCGCCTTTTTCCGTGCTGATGATTTTCAGTGATTGTCCGTTCTCAAGAGCAACAAATCGTTCTCCCTCTACGGTTTTCCCGTCTCTGGACCTGGGACAGAACGTCAGAGTGTGTTTGTAACTTATCTGACATCACAAATGGAAATCAAAAGGTGTCATTTTGCATCCTGAGTTTGGAGATTTATGGTTTAAACCAGATTTGAGAGCAAGATTTGTTCTCTGTACAGTACACAGCATCCTCATCTGTATATTTTGCACTAGATTTTTGTTATAACTATTTTTTCCCCCCAGAAAAATTGGTTAAATCAAAATCTTTGCAGACTCAAGCAAAAGTTCCTCGCAAGGAAGAGTTTGAGTGACAGCCTTAAATAAATCACAGCGAAACCTGGTAAGGGCTGTCGAACAGACTTAAAGGAGACATCGCTGAATGGAATCTGAAGTACGATCTTAGCACTCTGAGTGTTTTTGGAACGTCGAGAATGTTTTGTCATCGAGTGTCTGAGATCCTATTTCTCTTTTGTGGAAGTGTTGCTGAGCTGCCGAGGTAGTTAATAGGATTTAATTAGCCCCAATTTCAGGGAACGGGAGAGGATTATCTCATTAAACAGACATACAGTAAGTGTCAGCAGCAGACTGTGTCATACAGACACCTGAAGCAGAGTGGGATTAATAGCATGACTCAATGCTGTGATAGTGTGCGGCTCATTCTTTAGATGGACTAAGTTAATACAATAAAGCAGTGTGTTTCTTGTGTTTAAAATAAGGAAGCAAGATCAAATTTAGCTTTATGTGTAATTTCCATCCATC